CTCTCTTCGTTCGAGCTGTGGCATCGTAGATTGGGGCATCCTTCTGATCGGGTCCTAAAATTATTACCTATTATTATTTCTAGCTCTCATCCGAAAGTTTTGAATAAAGCTTGTGAAATTTGTCCTCAAGCCAAACAAGTGCGTGATTGTTTTCCGACTAGTCATAATAAAGCAAGTAGGATACTTGAACTTGTTCACTGTGATTTATGGGGGCCGTATAAGACTCCATCAACGTGTGATGCTTGCTATTTTTTGACTATTGTGGATGATTTTTCTCGGGCTGTATGGGTGTATTTGTTGCGTGATAAGAAGGAAGTGCATCATTATTTTCTCTCATTTATTGCTATGGTTGAAAAACAGCATGAGGTTTCTATTAAAATTGTTCGTAGCGATAATGGGACTGAGTTTAAATGCATGGAATCTTATTTTGACACTCATGACATTTTATTCCAAACTTCATGTGTTTATACACCCCAGCAGAATGGGAGAGTGGAGCGCAAACATAGACATATATTAAATGTTGCCCGGGCTTTGATGTTTCAAGCTAATTTACCTGTTTTTTTATGGGGTGAGTGTGTGCTTACTGCTGTGCATTTGATTAATCGTGCCCCGTCCGGTATTTTGCATGGGAAGACTCCCTATGAGCTTTTACATGGTGTCTCCCCTAGCTTCTCTCATGTACGAGTTTTTGGCTGTCTATGTTATGCTCATAATGCCTATTCTCGTGGAAACAAGTTTTCTCCACGTAGTCGGCGTGGAGTATTTGTTGGATATCCTTCGGGTAAAAAGCTGTGGAAAATATATGATTGGATTACTGGCGAAATCTTTGTGTCACGTGACGTCATTTTTTATGAGGATGAATTCCCTTTTTCATCCTCTTCTCCTGCGGCAGTAGACCCTCTTCAGCCAGACAATAGTCCCGGTCCCATAATTTTTGATGATGAGCCCGCGGTAGTTACCCAGGCAGTAGACGATCCCCCGCCATTCACCCATGAACAAGCAGCCGATGAAGCACATCAATCTGCCAATGACCAACTTGGGCGTGGTTACCGTTCCAGACGTCCGTCCGTACGACTGAGGGATTTTGTTACTCATCATGTTCAAGGTTTGAGCCCATCCCCGTCTAGTGCCTCCTCCATCTGTTCCTCAGGTACGTCCTATCCGATAGCTAATTTTCTCAAGTGTGACAAGTTTTCTCTCCGTTATCGGTCTTTTCTTGGAGCAATTCTTGCAGGGCATGAGCCACGGTCCTTTAAAGAGGCCATGACTAGCGTTGACTGGCGTGATGCCATGCAACGTGAGATACGGGCATTGGAGGACAATCACACCTGGGTTATGGAACCGTTACCGCCAGGTAAAAAGGCTCTCGGTTGCAAATGGGTGTACAAAATCAAGTACAATTCTGATGGCACCATTGAGCATTTTAAGGCTCGACTTGTTCTGTTTGGAATCACCAGCAAGAAGGCATTGACTATACAGAGACATTTGCTCCCGTTGCTAAAATGGTCACCGTTCGCCTGTTTTTAGCTGTTGTCGCTGCCAAACATTGGGAGGTGCATCAAATGAACGTTCATAATGCTTTTCTGCACGGGGATTTGGATGAGGAGGTCTATATGCGCCCACCTCCTGGATTTTGTTGCTCTCGGCCTGGACAGGTTTGTCGCTTGAAAAAGTCCTTGTATGGCCTTCGTCAGGCCCCACGATGCTGGTTCGCGAAGTTAACTTCTTCGTTGAAGCAATATGGGTTTCAGCAGTCCTATTCCGATTATTCTCTCTTCACTTTCAACCAGGGCTCGATTCAATTATATATTCTCATTTATGTGGATGATTTAATTATTGCGGGAAATGATGGCCGTGCTATTTCTGAATTTAAATCTTATTTGCATAAATGTTTTCATATGAAAGATCTTGGACTTCTCAAATTTTTCCTGGGCATTGAAGTGGCTCGTGGCGCTGATGGTATTTTCCTCTGTCAACGGAAGTACACCCTGGACATTATTTCTGAGGCTGGTCTTCTTGGGGCCAAACCCGCATCTTTTCCTATTGAACAGAACCATAATCTGGCTCTTTCTCAGAGTGACTTGTTGCATGATCCAGAGTCTTACCGACGTCTCGTTGGGCGTCTTCTTTATTTGTCTTTTACACGTCCTGACCTTGCATATGCCGTTCATATTTTATCTCAGTTTATGCAGGCTCCTCGACAGGATCACTGGGCAGCAGCCCTACGGGTAGTTCGATATCTTAAAGGCACTCCTGGTCAGGGTATTCTTCTCAGTTCTACTTGTGATTTGACTCTTACAGGTTGGTGCGATTCCGACTGGGCTAGCTGTCCTCTTACTCGTCGATCCCTTACTGGTTGGATAGTGTTTTTGGGTAACTCTCCTGTCTCGTGGAAGACCAAGAAGCAACACACTGTTTCTCGTTCCTCGACTGAGGCTGAATATCGATCCATGGCAGCTACCACTGCGGAACTTATATGGGCTAAGGGTCTCCTTCTTAGTCTCGGCATTGATCATTCATCCTCTATGACTATGCACTGCGATAGTCGTTCCGCTCTCCACATTGCTCATAATCCGGTTTTTCACGAGCGGACTAAACACATTGAGGTTGATTGTCATTATGTCCGGGATGCTATTCAGGCCGGACTTCTCGCTGCTCGTCATGTCTCTACCACAGATCAACTCGCTGATATTTTCACTAAAGCGTTGGGCAAACGACAGTTTCTTTACCTTCTTAGCAAGTTGGGCATTTTTGAACCCCATGCTCCAACTTGAGGGGGGGTGTTAGCGTGATAATTAGCTAGAGGGCCTGGCCCATTGTAATTAGTATTATTTTAATTAGTATTAGTTTGATGTATAGTCAATTTGGGCTAAGGGCTCATTATAGCATAGGCATACGTGTATAAATAGACTCATCGGCTGATTAATGAGATAAAGGGGGAAGATTTACCCTAACATCTTTACACACATACGTACGTCTACTCTTTAGCAACTTGCTTTTAGTAAAATAAATTTATAAGAAATTTATAATGTGATTAAAATCTCTTATAAATTTACTTTTCATGAAATTGTTATTTTGACTGCAAGTTGGTCTTTTGTTTAAGTGTTTTGTGCTAAGAGAAGAGAGAATTGGATTTTGGATGAGTTTAGCTAAAAACTCAGTTTTCAGCTGGCTGCCCAGAAAATCAGCTGGCTGCCGATTTCTGTCAATTTTCAGCTAACTCATTCCTTAACAATGAATACCAGTTAACTCTTTTCGTACCTTTTCTTTTTTAATTTATCCTTTTCTTTTGTTTTATGGTACGTTTAACTTCTCTTTTTAGTACTGTTTGCTTTTTATGAGTACTTTATCACTAATATGGAGCACATTACAACTTTAAACAAAACAGAACATAAGTAGTAGACTAGTCTAATACAAGGATAATAAAAAGAGGTGTCACAATCAAAACTATTACATTTATCATCAAAATCTAGGGGACCTAACAAAATGTTTAGAAGTGCACACTTTAAATTTCCTAAATATATATGGTTTACAATTACTTTTCTACCCTCCAATTTAGCACTAGGATTTAAGGTCTATCAATCTACATTAGAGTTTAATGTTAAATTTTCTAGGATTTATGAACCGCAATACGATCATTGTTTGATGACAGTTGGTAGATTTCCGGTAGTGACCAACAACTGGCGACACTCCAATGTTGGTTGTTCTCTCGAGGTGGTAGTTAGGCCATTCATAGCACTAGGGTATTAAGATCCCTAAATTTTAAATGTAGAGCTTTTGGACTCCTATTGTGTGCATTGGTAGATTAGTTAGTATGTTAAAAGTTGGAAAATGTGGTAGAGAGGGTTATTAAGACCATCCGCATCTCTGCGCAGTCTAAAAACTTAAATATGGACTCCGTTGATATGAAAACAGTGTTTAGACTCCGTCAATATCGTTTTTTCCCTACATTCCAGCACTGCCAATAAAATACACTAAAAAAACATACCAGTTAAAAGGAATGTTATTTTTTTGTTTATCAAAAGATTTAATTTAATTATTATAAGGAATATTATTTTTTTTGTTTTTGTATGAATAATTATGAAATTAAAAAAAACATTTCGATGTTAAAAAACAAAAAAATTGTTAATTTAATTTTAAATACTTTTTTAGCTTTCATAAAAAATAAAATGAGATCATGCAATATTCAGTTATTTATGGAGGCTCCATGAATTAAAAATTTGTGTTTGGTGCTTTTGGGCTCAAGAAAACTCAACAATTAAAACTTTAGATTTTTTTCACTTTATGTATGTAATATTGATGTCATATGAACAATCATAAAAATTCATAAATTTTGATATATTTTTTCAAAAAATATGGAAAACAAATAAGAAAGTTAAAAGAGTTTAATAAAGTAGTGGATTTAATGACACGGGAATGACGTCAACCACACTTTTCAACTCTCTGTGCCCCCTTTTCCACTTTTAGTACTCCTTTTAATCCATCACTATACACAATTAGGAGTCAAAAAGTTCCACATTTAGCCTTTTGGAATCTTAATCCCTCCTCACTACAAATGATCTTATAATTCAATGAGTGAGATTCTCGGTGTACACAAAATGTACATTGCATGTGTACATAGACAACTAGGTGGCTTTCGACATCAAATCATGTCCCTTTTCAAACGAATTGACTGTGTATATAGACAACTAGGGAATTTTATGTACACTTTGTATGCTAGGAATTTTCTAATTTAATAGGGAGCATTGATAGGGAGAAAAAAACTAAAGCAAAAACGAAGGAAAGGAAGGGAGTGACTAAGGCTTGTGTGTGCCAATGACCTCATATTGATGTCATCCCGAACCATAAATCCCACATTTTTAAAACTCTTATAACTTGAGTAAGTTAGTATGTAAACCTTTGATAATTTGACCATTCAAATTAAGTTTTTTGGTATGAGTAAGTTTTAGTCGATGAAGACATTTAAATAGACATGAAATTAATATGTAATTGTTTAAAACCTTGGTTATAGAAGTAGGAAGATCTATTTATGAACTGGGTGAAGTGTTCCACTTGAATATCCAAAGGGAATGGACTAACACCATTCCGGAACCACGACTCATCCTGTCTTCTAATGGTTGCACCGCCCGTCGCGAAATTCGCACCATGCCGGAAAGTTGTTCCTATGGAATCCAAGTATGCACTCAAGTGTGGCATTCCCAAATGTTCAGCTACACATAAAAAAATGTCCAAAACCATTGAAAAACAGATTCTGCTTTATGACATTATTATAGATAAGTAATAATAGGTGTTTTGGAATTGATACTTCGTATTAATTTAAGAGCATTTTTAATACTTCACATTGATGCTGAAGAGGCCAAATAACGAGGAACGTCTATTTGAAATGCGGATATAAGTAAAAAAAACTCTATGACATAAAATGCACATAGACTCAAAATTTCCTTTTTTAAACTCTGTCAGAACTCACAAGGTGGCATTAAATATGAACTTAGGGGTGTTTAGAATTAGTTCTATAGTTTCTAATATGGAACGCAAAAGTATGATTAAAATCAGTTTTTCAGAAGCTGTCATCCTCTAGTTTCTAAACAATTGTTTCAAAGCAGTTTGAAGTAATTGAGTACTTACGCACTTTCAACCAAACACTCCAATATATGTTTCTGATCCATGAAAAAGCAGAAGTAATTTTAAGAAGCGGATCGCATTCCCCCAATATGAAACTCGTCCTAGAACTTGTCCATTTTTTCAGTTGCCAACTCAGTTGGCGGTTGCATTACATCTATTTTATTTTGCATTGGAGGGGAGACTTCTACTTTGTTAAAGTCCCACACTGATATCTATATACTTTAACAATGCATTTGACGATATGGAAGTGCAACTGCGTGATCATGGATACATTCAACTTTAGGGAAAACTGTCAATTTAGTCCTTGTACTTTCATGAAAAAGTCAATAAGGTTCTCGTACTTTTAAAAAAATCAATCAAATCTTCGAACTTTGAAAAACATTCAATTGAGTACATTTTGAAAATTACTTGCCATGTCAGCAGGTCACACATGACGTGGCGCACACATGGTGGTCCACATGTGCGCCACGTCATCAGCAAATGGCTGACCGAACTTCCACATGTGTGTCACGTCAGCAAAATTATTGCTGATTGGGCTGCCACATGTGCGCCACGTTTGCGGGTGACATGGCAAGTAATTTGCAAATGGACTCAATTGAACTTTTTTACAAAGTTCGGCGATTTAATTGATCATTTTAAAAGTACGGGGACCTAATTGACTTTTTCATGAAAGTACGAGGACCACTTTGACTTTTAAATGTGGTCATTTGTTGTCCAAACGAAATCTCTACATAATGGCCACGTTTAGGAATCCCTACTGGCTGCTTATCAACTACGGAGTATTTTTTTTATACCAAAATATTTTATACCCTAATTGAGCCATGATCAAAATAAAGAGTTGTTTTTCTGATTAAATTGAAGTTACACAAAAATGTCGTTTTAACAATTTTCATTTTATTCTTCTCTTAATCTTTTAAAAAAAATGTATTTTAAACATTATATTTCCATATTTCAACATATTTAATTAGTCATTCTAAGAAAAAACATACGATAGTATTTAGTTACTCGTAATATATACGGAGTAGCTAATTTACGTACCTACCGATGAAGTCTATAATAAGACGTCCGTCGCTGCCCCTGCCTGCAGCTCTGTGAAAAAAAGTCTCGCCGGCGGGATATATCATCGGGAAAAACGCGGCTGCTATTCCTCCGGTGTCGGAGTTGGAATCGCCGAAGTTGTATATTGCCCGGAAATCACACGGCGGCAAATCAACCCCTTCCCCCAACCGCAAAATGCACCACCACATCAACAAACGTCCGACAACACTTCTTCTTGCCCCAAACTCCATTCTCAATTAATTACCTCGAAATTAATTTATTAGTTTCTAGCAACTGTACGTCGGCTCCATCTTTGGCCTATTTAATGATTTTTTTCGATGTACGCAGCTTGCTTATACTTTAATTAATTAATTCGCACAATACACGGACAGTACAACACTACAACCTCTCTTCTTAATTAATTCATCATATAAGGGTATTATTTTCCCTTCCGATCAAAGGCAAGCCACGCACTAAATAATTTGTTTTCTATTAGTCATCTGTTTCAGTTTATATGTTTTACTTTCCCTTTCATTTGTCCAAAATAAATATCACATTTTCTTTTTCCATAAGTAATACTAGTATGTTGTAATTGGTATACAATACAGAGTGTTTCATTTTATTAACAAATGTCACGCTCTTTTTTTACAGAGTAATAAAAGAGTTGTTATGAACAAATGTCACGCTCCGGTCCAATGTAATTTGTAGTCGGGCAGTTCCATTTAGCCCGATTTCGGTTCGGATCGACAGGTAGTGTGTCTTGCATGGCTTGTATATGTAGAAACATTAAAGATCAAAGACATAAATGCAAGATTTCTCATTGATACCAAGGCATAACGTTCATTTGTGAGTGAAGTGTTTGCTGGAGGTCTAGACGTGCCATTAATGCCAATGACGCAAACCTTGTTGGTTTCCACACCGTTAGGAGATGACGTGGAGAGGAACTATTATTATCCATCGTGTGAGGTAAAAGTGACGGGTCAACCCTTGACTTGTGACTTTGTACCTCTAAGCATGATGGAGTTTGATGCAATTCTCATGATGGATTGACTTGAGAAACTTTATGCTCGAGTAGATTGCTACACCAAAATTTTGGAACTCGAGAACAATGAGGGAAACACTCTATGTTTCAAGGGAGATCGAGGGGACTTCAAGAGTTGAAGGTCCAATTGCAAGAACTATTGGACAACGGGTTCAGTAGACCAAGTCATTCACTGTGGTGAGCACCAATACTTTTTGTGAAGAAGAAAGAGGGTACACTAAGGGCGCGTGTGGATGTGTCCACGAGCGGGGGTGGGCCGGGGGGGGGGGGAGGGGCTAGGAGCGAGGTTTGAGGTGAGCCCCACTTTACTTGATGAGATCAAGAGATGTCTGAGCATTGATGAGGGATGTCAGAAAATCCTTGAACGGATCCTTGCGGGACCCGTTGATTTCGTGTACGGGAAGATGATCTCTTGTTATTTAGGGATCACATATGCATACCGATGAATGAAGAACTCCAAAACTCCATGTTAGAGGAGGCTCATTCTTCGGCCTATGATATGCACCTGGTTGGTACTAAGATTGTTAGAGATATTTTATTGTGATCAATGTATTAATTATTAGTTGTCTCTTAAGTATTAAATTTAGTATTAAATAGACTAGCCTAGAATAAAATAGGTGCAAGGAATATATTGGACCTATTCAATATTGTATCTAATGACTTACTCATTCCCAAGGTTATAAATATGCCCTATGGGGAATGGGATGGGACAACTTTCCACACCTCACTATTATTCTCTGCGCACATCATTATGAGAGGAGTGAGCCTGGAGAAAGTTTCTATGCTACTTTGTAATATCCTTCTATAAAACTTTCTCCACCAATGCAATAGATGTTTCATCACTCTTGAGAGCTTGCATCCATTTTCATGCATAGACAATAGGGACCTAACAAAGATGTACCCGGATTTGAAGGAAAGCTATTGGTGGTCGGGTATGAAGAGGGATATCGCAGAGTATGTGAGTTGATGCCTTACTTGCCAACAAGTTAATGAGGAACATCAACACCCGACAACACTTTTGCAGCCACTTACCATTCTATAATGGAAGTGTGAACATGTGACTATGGACTTTGTGGTGGGACTACCATGAACGGTGAACAACTACGATGTTGTATGAGTAGTGGTTGTTAGGCTCACCGAGTGCACACTTCTTACCTATCAACCCCACTTATCCTCTTAAAATATTGGCCAAAGTATATACATTTTCTCAAATAGAGACCCACGATTCACATCCAGATTTTGGTCAAAATTTCAAGCATTTTTGGGAAACTGAAGTTTAGCACAACTTTCATCCACAGACGGATAAGCATTCCGAGCGGGTGATCCCGGTTTTGGAGGAAATGCTTAGAGCATGTGCCTTGGAGTTCCAAGAGAGTTGGGACAAGCATTTGGCTCTAGTGGAGTTTCCCTGTAACAATAGTTATCAGGTAAGTATTGACATGCCCCCGTATGAGACATTGTATGGGAGGAAGTGCAAAACACCCTTGTGTTGGGACGAGGTTGGTGAGGCCAATCTCGAAGGTATAGAGCTTGTTAAGATCACCAAGGCTAATGTAAAGATCATTTGTGATAGACTCAAGACTGTTCAAGATTGACAGAAGAGCTATGCAGAAAAACGAAGAAGACAGTTAGATTTTGAAGTTGGGGATGAAGTCTTTCTAATGATTTCTCCTGGGAAGGGTGTCATCAGATTCATAGCTAGGGGTAAGCTTAACCCACGCAACATAGGTCCTTGAAAGGATTGGGGGCGTGGCTTACCGTCCCAAGTTGACACCCGAACTTGAGAAGATTGATGATGTGTTCCATGTATCGATTCTCAAGAAGTATGTACGGGACCCGTCGCATATTCTTGAGAAATCATCGGTATAGATCCGAGAGGACTTACAATACACGGTGCGTGGAGTCGGTAAAGATAATGAACCAGCTGGTAAAGAAACTGAGGAACACGGAAATTCCTATGATAAAGTTACTATGGAGGAGTGGTCAAGTCGAGGAATAAACATGGGAGACCAAGGTCTCAATGAGAGATCAATACGCGTTTCCTTTTGATTAGACACGTAAGTTCCGGGGATGAAATCTCAAATGGGGGGGGGGGGGTAAACTTGTAACACCGTCCCCAAGTATATTTAGTTTTTACCAAATCATGTATTGAACCTAGAAATGATTAATGAATTTACGAGGTTGTAAATTTTTGTTATTACTTTTACGTGAATAATAAAATGCACGTGGGGCTCACACCGGGGGAGGGGACCAACCAATATTTCCAGGACCACATATTATATTCATCTTGGTCTAGATAATATTATTATGATGATTTATGTTCATGTTGGGCCATATAAATGACATAGAGTTGGTCGGTGGATCAAGCGAGACCCATATACCCAGTATTGGTAATTCGATAGATAACACCCCATTATAAATTACGGGGACCACTAAATTATCACTACTAGAATTTTTGACATTTGCTGCTCCCTAGTTGTTGCGGTTAAATAGGAACCGCATCAAATAACTTGAAAATACATCAGTATTTGCTGCGGTCACGGGGTACCCGCAGCCTTTGGATAAAAAAATTACTTTATTTGCTGTTATACCGGCCGAACCGCAACAATATGTGCGAAAATATCAATCTGCGTAAGAGGGCCATCGCCGGGTATCAACCCTTCAGACCTAATCGTACGCAAGCAGTTGAAATCCCTAGCCAGCAGATCCGTCGGCCTCGCGCAACAGGTACCTAGCTCGAATCGCAAGCCACCGCCGTTGTCTCCATTGAATCACAAGTAGTCGGGTCACAACTATAAATATCCTTATATATAGTTGGGAAATATATTCACTCTAGAGGCCCATAATAATTGGGAGAATGATGTATATTCTATAGTCGGGTCAAATCCCGATTCTTACATCTACCGTTGCGAGTCCATGCAATTCAACACCGCTCCTTAGACTCGAGTTGGATTATGGTCCTGAACCTAATCATATACGAACCTCGGGTTATTCTCAAGGACTAATTGAGGTACACACAAATTACTCCAATTTGTGGGATTTAAATACTAATATTCTTATATTAACCTCGGGCTAGACTTTATAGTTTTATCCGGGCTGCTATCAATTTGTTCAATGCACGATTTCACAGGCCTTATCCACTACACACGAGCATGGTCGGCGTATCATATATGGATCGTTCTCAGTCCACATTCACATTCAAACCATGGTAGTACTTCTAACTTTATTTTCTTAATTCTCACACCAAAAATAATAATGTTACTATTGTTTTGGGGCAAACAATGTATACCGAGCAAATTAGTTTTTTTATTCTTTTAATAGTGAACTTATAAATTATTTTGGCTGTCTATTTTTTTGCTTAAGTCAGGAGTCAGTTAAGATATTTTTCTACATTAAAACGTAAGTGCAATAATATTCTTTATGCGAAGGGTTAATTGATTGTTCACATTATGTGAAGAGTAACCAACTTGAATCAAATAATGTAAGTGATCGGACTAAAATTGAAAGTATACTAGTGGAGATGTAGCAATAAATGACAGTAATATATCGAGGCAAATTAACAGGGAAACATTGTTCTATAAAGTTTCGGCTTTGAGAATTAAAATAGAGAACATATCACTACTACATTTTTAAACCTAACGTAACATTAAAGATGTAACATATCTATAAAAGTGTTACATATTTCTCTAATGCAACACTTTTTAAACCTAGTGTAACACTTTATAGAAGTATAAATTTTACATTAGAGACTATAAAGTGTTATAATAGGTCTAATGCAACATGACCAAATGTAATGGTAAAAAAGTGTTACATTTTCTCCAATGTAACACTTTTAGTGATATTGTAACACTTTTGGGTGGTACATTAGGGGTTGAAATGTTGTAGTGTATGTAAAGTGCATAGCTTTTTGTTGTTTCAATGACTATATGATAAAATAACCAAAACATTGGACTTCACCCAAACGTTAACTAGAATTCAATATAAGTTATTTGCCCATTTTTATGAGTACACGACATCGCTCTGATATTCCCAATTCTGATTGAAGCAGTGAGATCGAGTGTGGTTTTCGCTACATGTGAGTCCCATTATGACTCACATTTACTTAGAGAAAACCCTATTGAATATTAAGATACCACACATGTACCATAAAGGATTGGATATATTTCTACCCTCAATCCTTTGTATGTTTATTCTTCTAGAGAAAGTTCTATATTGCAATGTTAGTTGACCATTTAAACATTTAGATGTTACACAACATGGTTGGATCTTTAATTCTAAAAAAGGTAAAATGTGAATTACTCTTTTAGTGTCGATTGATATTTCAATGTTAGTTACTTCATATCAAATACATAGATTACACTATTATGCTTCATAACAAATATGGAAAATTATATTTAAGAATAATAAATCACAAAACTTGACTTAGAAGCTAAGGTAGAACAAATATAAAAAAACTATCTGGCATTGAGGTTCATCCTGAGCCTTGGCTGAAGGACTTAACCTCTAACACTCATATTATTCAAGATTACAATACTTTAAATGATAAGAACATGAAAATACAAAGGTAATGTTACCTAAACATCAATATTTGGAAGAAATGAGCTTCCACGCCTCAGGAACACCATGAAGAACAAAAAAACTATATAAAAAATATTTATGAACCAATGCATTGAATGATGCATTTAGAATGGATTGGAGGGTTTATATAGGCTATTAAATGATCTTTGATGGTCTATTCATGATCCTCACTCAAATTGAGACAACATTTTAAAGCCACACATTCCACATATTTTGATTTCTACTCAAGAATATCTTACATGTTGTGCTGTATTATGCAAAATCAAGCCAAACCAGCTCCAATTTGGGCATGAGACTGGGGTAGGTTTCTCTTGGCATTCTCTCATTATTTTTACACATAACTAGCGCATGTTAGGTGGTGTGGCTGGCGCCTTGTCGCTTTCAATCGAATGTTTTTTTCTTTTCTGGTGCCCATTTGTTGGTTGGTTCCCAATTAGGAAGTGTCGGGTTTTGAACCCCTTTTGGCTGGTGACTTCATTTTCTTTGATTTGGATCATAATTTCCTACACAATTTTTTACCTGATTTTCTCTCTTTCTCCATTACGTATGACTATAATTACTTATCTAAAACATAGGTAAATACGGTGCCTATTAGTAAGTAATGCAAAATTATTGTATGATTCTTTATTAACATACAAATATTGTTCACTAACAAATATCGTCCTACTTCCTTAAAAGAATTTCTTTTTTTCTTCAAAATTGTGGTTCTTATACAAAGCATATTGTCCAATATGGTTAACACTATTAGCAGCTGCAAGCCTCATAAATATACTACATTTTCAAAGTTTTTCTCTGGTGACCCTATTTTCAGAGGAAGCATTGTCAATGGTGGGGCTTACAGTTCCGAAGTAACGATCTCCAAATTCACCCATGCCTGGCATCACATGTAGATCCTTGTTGAGTGACCTATCTATCTCAGATGTCACTATTTTCACTCTCGAAAATTTTTCACATACTTCACGTAACCCTTGAGGCGCCTGCAAAAGGTAACATACATGCATTAACCATGCATTTAACAACGAACTAATTTAATACTTTTAAATATTTTATTTATTGAAAATATAGTTTTACTTAACTCCAAAATGTATTGTATCTCATACACACTCACCGATATTAGGTTTAAGAAAATGATGTTGCACTCTGCTACTCCCCTGCTAAGCAGCACAGATATAGCTTTCACCGCAGAGTTGCCTGTTTGTATATGCGTGTGTGAAGTGGTGCCAAAATGAATGATGTAAGAATAAATTAAACTTGTAACACCAAGTTAATATTTCATAGAAATGTTATGGATTGTAACTCTATCGTGTGCACCCCTAAACTCATTATTCACATTGTTTGATTTTTTGTCCGTCTCAAAATAAGGTTTTAATTTCTATTTAAATAAATATTCATATCATTCATACTCCGTATTATTTCTCTGATTTGAAATTTAGATATGTTGACAAGACTATTTCATTGTTTTTGGTATGTGTGCTAACTGCTAAATAATATTAAGAACTAAAAGTCAATATATAAAATCTCAAGCTACTCTATCACTATAAATTATAAGTCGTTTTGTACACACACGCACGCACATACGCGCGCACATACACACATGTAATGTTGGAAAAATGTGTTAAAAGTTGCATTACATGGTCAATTTGGGGCAATATTTTGAGTGGGTTCCACTTCCAATTTGGGCCGGGTCAAAGCCGTTTCGGATTGTCCTTGTTAAAGGCTACAATTCAATATGTGGTACACTCAAAACGGATAACTAATGAATGACAAATTGATTCTCGAAGTTCACTCGTTAAAATGGAAAAACTATGAAAAAGGATGAGTTTCTAATGTGATTTATCCCACACCGGAAAACCCAAGGGATTTTGAACCCCTTAAAAAGCGAACCCCTCTTAAAGGAGTTAAGATTCCTAAGGGGAAAGACTCTCTTTGCGCGCAGGGGGGTGCGAATCAAATCCCCAAAACAGAGAAGAAAAACCGTGACAACTTGCGTGCGCTGGCGACCTGTCGGTGTTCTGGTCGCTCCGGGGCCAGAAGACCACCGGGTGTTCTGGTCGCGCACCAGAACGGTCCTGATCCGTTACAACAGTTAATGTCTAACGTTTTTCTCCTTTAATGCTCATTTTAGCACGTAGTTTTTGAGCTAAATTCACCTCCAACTCTCCGAAAATTCCCGAGTGTTCATACGTTCTCGTTTGCTGGAACATTCGTTTGTGTGCTCAAAAGATCGTTCGTTAGGCACCATGTCCCGGGAAATGGTCGTTGCAACGCTCCTAGCACCGTGGGAGGCAACAAATACGTTTTAAGGACATCATGCTTAGCACGAGCTCTGGCTTTTTCCTGGTCCATCTAATTTCTATTTTCCGAAACACACCCAACATATAATGCATGTGTGGGTTGGGGTAAACAAGAGCCACAATAATGGCAGATGATGATGATGAGATGGATGGTGGATATGATGACGAGCCAAATGAGCCTGCGATTGAGGAAGGAATTGAGGCAGAGGAGGATGCCAATAATGAAGACCTATATGATACCATAATAAAAGAGGATGAAGACAAACTTGAAGAGGTTGTTGTGTAAAACCTATGAAAACATCAAAGTACATGACATAATATGAAAGAGCAAGAATTTTGGGTACTCAAGCTCTTCAGATCAACATGAATGTTCATGTGATGGTTGATTTGGAGAGGGTGGTGACCCCCCTTGAGATTTCTATGAAAGAGCTACGAGAGGGAATGATTCCCTCCATAGTTCATCGGTATCTCCCATATGGAAGATATGAAAAATGGGGGGTTGATGAACTCATAGTTGAAGACTCGTGGAAGAGAGAAGTCGGGGGAGACTATGTAATGGTTTTTAAATTGTTGTAGTGCCTTTGATAGAATGATGAGGCATTATCGATGATGATGCAATATGAATTGACGTGCTTATGGAACTGGGATTAGTTTCAAATTTTCATATTTTCTGCTCTCTTTATCGTGGAAGAATGATTAGAAGAAAAATGTATACTTTTTGTACTTTACTCTGGTTCATTATGCTATGGGCTATTTGATTTGTGTATTTTGTTTTATAGCTCCAATGAATTTAATTCATGCTGTCAAATTTTGTGAAAAAACTAGGTTGATTTGGGTATATCAGGTGTGGATGAAAGTAATTCAAAATTTAAAAATATACTCCCTCTGTCCCAATTTTCTTTTCTTTTTTTTTTTTTGCAAAATTTCCTATTTTGACCGTCCCAAAATGATTTTCCACTTTTTATTTTAAGTATGAAATATAGACAAAGTGACAAGTGTACCCTTGCTTTTATCTTACCCATTTTCTATTCTCACACCCATTTATGGAGGAATTAATCCACCCATCATATCTTATCAAGTACTCTGCACCCTATTTTCTCTCTCTTATTCTATTGTTCATCTGTTCATCCCAGCTTCTCTCCCTCGTTCTCCGTCTTCTTCCCCATCAACACCCCTTCTCAGCTTTTCTCCCAGAAAATGGACTCTTACATGTTTGTGGCGGTGGTCCGACGCAATTCTTAGCATATGGCTCGCTCCGACAGAGGAAATCCTCACTCCGACCAGTGTTCCGCAATCTATCATTTCATCACTATCTTCATCATCCGTTGATGTCCATCAAATTTATGCCTTTCAGGAGATATTATACATTTATACCAGAGGAAATTCAGCGCGTCTGTTTGTTCGCTTTCATTTTGCACTTAGCTAGTGACCATCAGATCCCACCGGCGGCAGATTTTAGCTTGTAGGCATACATCCTTTAAGCACTGCTAATGTTATCTATGTGGCTATCTATTTACCATGAAATATTGAAAATGTACCATCTTCTGAGTTTTACTTTCTGCTTTTCAGTCGTGCTCTCTAGTTTAGTAGGAAAAGGGCAAAATGGTGAACACATTGTAAATTTGTATACTTTTTTAGTCTTTGTGCAAGTCAAAATTTGCACTTCACTTCGGGACGGAGGAAGTATATATCATGTGTGTATAAGTGTGTGTGTGCGCGTGTAAGATGAAACACGCCTACCTGAAGCAAGAACCGGATCAAGCAAGAACACATGACGACTTGCAATATCTGATGGCAGCTTCTCATAGATCAACTACAGTAAAATTTGGTATATATGATATATAGTAGTAGAACTGATAGAGAAGAATACCTCTAACATATCACACACTTCATCTTAAATATTTCAAGCTTTGAGTTTAATTTATAGACCTGCCTACCACTTTTGCCCTCTCCGTGAATTAGAATCTTTCCAATTTTTATTCCTTTGCAACATGCCCAAAGCGCATTCTCCATGCTTTCCCCACTGGTGCAATAAAATGTGTTGCATTAATTTAAAAAAACAAAATTGAGGCTATGCAGTTTTAAGGGTTGAATTCATGTTTTCTTATATTACTTTTTTTCTTAACAAATACATTGTTTTGAGTGCATTAATTCTTGGAGTATGTAACTTCTATTGGTTAGATAACTTTAAAGTGAAAATGCCACTCTACTTTTACATGATAAAATTACACTAAAGAAAACAATAATGGAGAAAATAGAGAACAAACTTACCTTCTGATGACTGATACCCCACATAAACTTCTACAGAAATCTACCCCGCTATAAACAGATCCTGTACATTTTTATGCATCATTATTTCATCATCCTAGAAGTTAATTGAATAAACAATCAAACATATATAGTACTTCTCTCCAATTTTTATGTAATGGTCATATGCTACCAAAACCACCTGTGGGAGTAGTGACCTGTTTTTCCGTGAATGGAAGGTGACCTAGACCATGCTCCACAACCTTAAGTATAAAATTGTATCTTATTTCATGTACAAATAAGAAAAAATTAATGAAATTAGCACATAGAAGTTTCTTATATCCTAATATACTCATACCAAACGAATGAGGCGGTCTGCATAAAAAACAAAATCGTGTTTTGCTGTTTTGGCATCACGTATAAGCGTATGCATCCCACGAATCTAGAAATAGAAAGAGGTGAAATCTTGAGCCCATGTCAATTATTCAGAATATGTATAGATCCTCAAGCTGTATAATTGACCTGAAAAGTTGAGTTTATAACAAAGACATTTGGGTATATTTTGCAAAGTTCATTCTGACCAAGCTTTGTACGTATATGCTGTAATATCAAATCAATTGCAACACTATTCTCTGCTCCCCGGGGGATTATAATATCAGCATATTTCTTGGTCGGAAGAATAAATTCCTCAAAACCAGGTTTCACAAATTTGTCATACTGCATGTAGTGAACACATTGTAGTATTAGTTAGTTCCAGAATGAAATAAAACTCCTATTTAAGATTGTTTTGTGTATATACTATATATTGCTGATATGTTTTTAATGCCTCAATAAATTGAACAATAATGAATCTAAGTACTAAGACATAAATTTCTACACACCTTACTATAATATGTTGAACATAGCAGTGACAATAACATTATAATTCACCCCTCCCATACAAAAAGAAAAGAAATGATTTTACAATGTATTATTGTTGCATAACTTTACAAAAGTTTGAGCAATATACTAACTTGGTCAAGCACACTTCGAACATTTCTTCCCCACTCTAGGGTATCACGTTGAATTCTCCTTGTTAGACGAACATCGGAGTCTGAAAAAATTACCTAAGACTTTATTTTTTGTATTTGCTGGATGTGAAACTTATCTCTCCACGTGATTGTTTGTGAACGAACCTGTATCCACAAAGATCTTCATGTTCATGAGATTGCGTATTCGAGGATCATGAAGGACTAGAATTCCTTCTAAGATGACGACATCAGATGGTTGCACCTAGAATTAATTAATAGTGGAGTTACATTAGTGCTATGTATTTTTAATGGATAATTAGTTGACAAGTAACTACCACACGCATTGGCACAAGGCTTTTGTGTCTCCTTAAGTCGTAATTGGGAACAGTTATAGGTTGTCCGCTTCTTAGTGTCTCCAAACATGAAAGAAGAAGC